TTTATACTTTATATTTATTAAAGTATACTTTATGTTTATACTTTATATTTATTAAAGTATGCTTCATTATTATTAAAGTATACTATATACCTTAGCATTGCTGGCTGTGATGAACGGCGGACTCTATTTATGGGCTTGATAATCATTACGCCGACATCAGCTACGTTATGATCGGTTTGCATTGCACACACGTGAATAATGTTACTTTGTCTGAAATAATTCCGCGCGTACTTCACCACCTACTTTATAAGATGCCTTAATTAGCATGATACGATGGTGAAGTACACCGTGTCACAAAAAAATCCTAAAACCTACTTTGATTATCGACTCTATCATTGCATCTAGGTGTATGAGAATCACCTTTGCAACTTTTCGTTTGTAAACTTTTAGATTTTACTCTACACATTTATGGGCTCGAACAAATAGTTCGTCAATTGGAGTTTCGGGAGGAGAACAGTTCACAGCGAAAGTCTGTATCAACTACTACGAAAAGCCGAGACAATCGGGCTTAACGATTTTCTTTTCACTTCTCATGCAATTTCACATGGATCTTTTGGGGCGCGTGCTGTAGCCGTTATGTCGTTAGCTAAATCGTTCTCTTTTCTAACTAGCGCTAACTTTCCTAACTAGGAATCTTCTACGGACTGCCTTTGCTTGTTCAGTCGCCTTGCCACGAGGCAACTGCGGAGCGGAGAATAGAAGAAATCAGAGTAAAACAATTCTACTTGTTAATTAGAGCTACCACCGTCATTGTCCGAAGCAACGAGGCTTAGGGTCGTAGCAATGTTGATATACATAGGGGAGACTCCTCCTTTCTGTCAACATGTATATTGCGGGTAACCTTGCTAACTACAACTAGTGCTGCCCACGACTCAGACCTCCTGCCAAGTCCCTCTTTCTACACTCTCATACGCATATAAATAGAAAATTATCGACAAGCTTTCGTGTAGTCAGGGTTCTACTTTCGTTGAACTGTGCATTGTCGACGTAACGACGAAGATTTTCCGCTCTTTTCCGTCCTATCTTTCGTGCGCAGGCAAAAAGGTTCTCTAGGCTCAACGAGTTATACGATTTTTTGGAGCATCGAGAAAAACGCCTCAGTCCAAAACGCGGGTACAACAAATCTGTGTTGCGTTTGCGCCTTTGTACAATATGCTTCTTTGCTAATCTTTACCTGCCCGTTCCTACATAGATGGTTGTTGTACGCGTTAGCAGTATTTTTAATTCGTACTCGAAATCAAAATCTAATAATTATCGACAGTTAGACAGCCCAATCCGTAAATTTCAGTTAGTGAGTTCAACATATACGATTTTATGATTGTTTGGAAAACAGTATAAATAAACAATGACGGTCGTTGCTGTTGTTAATTAACTGAATTGAACATCCACGGTAGTTCAACAGCTCTACCAATGTCTTTGTTCAAGGTTATAGAATCGAATGTTACGTTGGTATTTTCCGCTTATGTTCCGGCTACAAGTGAGTACAACACTAGACACGCTTCACACTTTCATCATTAACGTCTTCACTGCTCCAACATCTCGGAACACACCTCATCTCGGAAAACACTGTAGTCACCCATCGTATTTATGGCTACCAGCCGGACTTTGATCACATTCATCAAGTTGGAACGGCACAATGATAGTATATCATCAATCCATGAATACATGGCTAGCCTACAGCAGATTGCCTCGACAGTTGGACCACAAGAGATTTTTTTTTCTAATCGCAATCGTTCACAGACGAAAGCTAGCACTCTTAGTTTTTGGGTTTAACAGGCATAATCTATGACGATTAAAAACAACAATGTTTATATATATACGTATATACATGTTTTATATGTGTACATTATTGTTGTATTACAAACAAGAGCAAAATAGAGCGATGTTGGCTTCAAAGACGAAGCCAGTCTTCACACCCAGAGAAAATTTACATAACACATTAAAATAGTGTAAACGTCTGTCATAAACGCACCGAACAAAGCGGAGGAAGGAAATAAGTGTTAAGTGCATATAACCGATCACCTTTGCTTAATGGTGGCTTAATATGATATAATGATGACGATGCTGAACCAAAGCGTGCAAAGAAATCGCGTCGAGACATAGCATGATATTTACAGCACTAGTAATTATTATGTTCAATTCTAATCAATGTCGAGATAGATAAATATATACAAAAAAAAATGAAATACAACAATAGCTTATATCTACATTCAAAAGCATATCCCTCCTAGTTATACACACATTTATACGGCCTACAGACAGAACATGTGCTTTCGTCTAAATTTCCTTTTTTTTTTCCTTACACGGAAAAAATATAATAGGACAGCCGCAAAATAGACGAACAATGCCCTCAAGCGTTAGAAAATGTCAATACACCATTCGAGTATTGCTATAATTAGTAATATGAGTAAAATTGCCTACGAACTATTCATGCTGCAGATAGGCAGCTGAGCTATGCTATTGCCGATACAAAACACCATGAAAAACATTCTATGAATATTAAGATCGGCTGCTAACAGACGATAACATGACACTGTTAATGTTGGTAAACAAGATAAGACGGTATCCATGGCAATTAGAGCAAAAGCCGTATCGTTAATTGTAGTAAAAGTGATTTCAGGATTGATGATAGTGCTAGATTCTCAATGGATATATATACATCTATGCATAACATATAAAAGCGTTATGTTCGTGTGTGCATGCACGCCTAGCTGTATTACCGAACAAAACATTAGTGATGATAATTACACCTCCAAGAAAATCATTTACGGATCAAGATTATGGATCGCAGTCATACTGTGGCAGGCTAAATCCACTCCCTATTTCGTCTGCTGTATGATTGGTTATAAACATTAAGCCCAAACGTATTTTTCTTTCAAAAGGTCTGTCCACATTTAGCCACCGTCACGCCCGGTCCCTTTTTGACATCTAGCTTGCAGAAGCCCTGTATAGAACTGCCGAAAATACACGACGCAAGATAAAGCAGAGAAAGATAATGGTTCTACGACAACTAAGGAAGCGGAAAAAATCGACAGAACGATTCGGATATGACGAGAATATCTAAACTCGTAGTATACAGGAAAGAACGTTAGTATACAGTGTATTAAATAGGGAAAAAATAGTGGTAGAATGAAGCCGTCAACAAACCCAAACCGAAGATGGGCCTGTTGCATTTGTCAACATCGACAAATGCAACAGGCCCATATCTTATGAAACCATCAAGCCAGTTAAAGATGTGCCGTGGTATTGTCGCAAATGGACACCAATGATCAGGACGCGCTACTGATGACCAACGGCTATTATAGCTTGTCTCTTGTCAAGATTTATACGAAGAGCCCTGTCTACAGAGAAAAACATGTAGCAAAGCTCGTCGTGTGCGAGTGCCTACTGCTGTATATAAGAAAACATGCTTAAAATTTGGTGATGGGAATGGTGTTAAATCCGTATCAATATCTATGGTAAATATGAGTGAAGCATTGATAGAAAAGCAAAAAATCAAGTAACGAAGGATCGCAGCATAACACACCGCATCATGATCGACTACATTCGTTACTTAATAATAGTTTCGTATGAATTGAAACAATGAGACCATAAAATGACGCTGACATCGAAAGGCGAGAAAAAGATTAGCAGCAATGAATGCAATTGTACTGTCATCTCGAAGAAGATTGTTTTGCGAGCTAGGCGATAGACTGCGGAGTCGCAGTGAAAACGGTAAGAGAGCGACATTACACAGTATTATTCAACCGACAATACGATAGTGATTGAATTCGTTGCAAATTCAATTGTTATCGTTTGCCTATTCCAGCTCTACTATTCAATCAAGAAGAGTGCGTCAATCCACCTTATCTATGACCTGATCCTGACGCGCACCTCTTGAGACTGCCTACATGTCTTGATATACGTAGTCGTCTGGCAGAACATCATACATATTCATTGCCAGTGACGTAGATGCGTTAAATAGGACGACAACAAAAACCAGGCAAGCACCGGAGCTAAGGTCCACCTGCGCTCAATGGACCTTGGTTCCATGTTTCGACTTTTACATCCGGTATCGCCATTAAACACTCCATCAGCTTGGCTGGCTCTCAGCACGGAACGAACTGTGCGTCTATGCTCAGGTGTAAATCTGGACCACGTGTCGCTAAGATTAGCGGGCAAGTACGTTACTCACTAAGCTATTCCGGGATTTTATGGCCTAGTGGCTAGCAAATAAGGCCCGTAAGCCATCGGAGACGCTACTCAAGTAATATCCCATTCATTCAAACAACCCCGTATAGAATTTCTTACGGTAGCTAAGTGTATTTGACTTCTATAGTAAATGTGATTGCCGTAACAGGCATGCGTTCATTGGCTACTTCTAGTACCAGGCAAAAATTAATTATTTCTACTACAAAAAAGTAAATTTATCGTAGCGAACAATAGTGCGTCGTTCGAGGGAAGATCAGCAATGATCCAATCGGTATGCGTCAGACAAACCGCCACCAAAAAAATGAACTTTTTAGACCGTACCGAATCGACAGTCTGCCGTGTAGCTAAAACGTATGCGTTTTCAGAAGGAACAGAAGCAAGTATTAACGCATCGCAACAGAAAGTCCACGACAGCAAAAAAACAAACAGTGCGAACTTCAAAGTCGATTGTTGCCAGCCAAAGGTGCATTTCTAATGATAGCTCTGTTTCAAACGGGGTTCTAGTGAGGAAATTTAACGTGAGTAAACGTTCGGTGTCACAAATTATTTACATCTCACATAAGTAGATGTCACATGTCGTGAAGGTCAGACATATGCTCTCTGAGAACAATAAAATTCGGTGTTGTTTGCTGGTCAACTCTCGTTGATTTCTCTCTGACGGGAAGTTCATGTTCTGAGGATAGCGTCCAGTGAAAGAGACGTTATACCAGCTTTTTTCTTCCAGCAAGGTGGGCGCATAACTAAAAAGTTATATCTGCATGATCGACCAGGTGTTAAGCAAAGCAACCGTGGATACCTCAGGTGACCGTCGAATCATACGTCCTTTAACAAAATCGTGCATCGATTTGTACAAGTCAAATAGTGTAGGACCGGCTGCTTGAACATACGAGCACATGGTGGAATCAATACATAGCTGGCGAGCGGCCCAGATCTGAAACCTTTAGTATATAAGTAACGCTATTGAGTGAGAGCCAATAACAACAAGCCTCGATACAACAACGTCGATTCGCTTACTCCTGGAATCGCTTAAACGAAAAGCTTGTGAGTAGTTCGGAAGTTGAATTGGAGCTGTAATCGTGAGGAATGGTGGTTACGTTGAATGAACGAGACTTTCTCTGTTTGCGAAGCTGGGATAAAATGCTTCTGACATAATTACTATTCTTACATAATCGCTCTTCATAAATAAAATTTCGTAGCTCCGTAGCCTGAGTGCCGGTGGAATAGTGCAGATAACTCAGAGAGAGTTTTTATCGGATCACTCTGTTGGCAAGTATTCTACGGGCCTAGTGGGTATACTGATCCTGGCGGTCTGCGTTCTCGCCTAGTGATAAATGACGCCGCAGCTGATTGGCAGGCTGCTTCCGCTGCTTCTGCTTTTGCGGCGCGTGCTTCCCGCGTTCTTGCTTCACCGTCGCCCAATGCGCGTCATTTACAGAAGACCACCGCGCTGATGCTAGCAGGTCCAGCACACATCAGGAATCTTCCCTGTCCTGCTGTTGGTAGCCTCTGTTTCATGGCCGACTGCTAAGGCAACGACAGTGTACTCAGGTCGATATAGCATCGTACCGCCCTGAACGGTGCTCGGAGCCTAGGCGGCCAAACAACCAATTTGACCAAGAGCAGAAGCAGCTGCTGACGCTGGCACCAGCCTAAGAAGGAAACAAGCGGAGACCAAAAATGTAAATAAGAAGCAGCAGCAACGATAGTACGATACGATGTTAAATTTTTTTCTGCTTGGGATAGGGCATGGGGAAAAAGAAGAGAGCGGAGACGCCCGCTGCTCGCTGCGGCTGCCATCGCGGTGATTAGTGGTGACCATCAGTAACACTTGGTGGCCAGGGGACGAGGCGTATGCAATGGCGTAATTTTATTTTCCACTGCAAATGAACTAATGACATGAAAGCCCTATCTCTTTGAGCACGTGACAAGTTCGTTTTTGCATGACTTGACATCACTTGAAGTCTAGAAGAGAAAAAAGGCGAATTTCTGACTTGTAAAACGTACGTGGCATAGACGTGCGCGGGATCCGCATTACTGAAAATAGGCTCACCCGAAGACTGTGCATGCATTACAATTTGAAAGTTTATCTTACTATGTAATTAAGGGACAGTCAAAATGAGGTAAACATATTTGCGACGCTTAGTGAGTCTATTGGTCAAGTTTGGCCATCATTCTGAAATGCAGATTTTCTATTAAAGGAGAACATTGCTTCCCTTTTGCCAAGGAGTCAATTGTAGCTGAGTCTGTGCATATGAAGGCACAGCAGTAAGAATTAGTTAGCTTTACGAAGCAAAAATGAAAGTGTTACTTTAAATATTGTCGACATGGAGGCGCTATAAACGTACGCCATTGACCTTAAGTTCTAAATACCAAGACCAGCTCTCGTAACCGAACTGTTCTCTACTGGCAACTTATTCACATGATCAGCATCGATCTAACTCCACCAGAGTTTAGGTCGTGATGGAACCTATAATTTTATCTCATAGTTACGACTCGGACAGCGCAATCAATGTCATCATTTTTGTTAAGCTTATTACATCTGCTGCAATCACAATGAGATTTATGTACAAATCCAGCTACAAAGTAGCAAACGAAAGCACTAGTGGCAACGCATTTTTTATGTTCGGCTAACATGAAGACAAGCTGTTTTTTCCACTCGAGAACCGTCGTTAGGATAGCATTGTGTGAAGTCCGACGCGTTTTTTTCGCGAAGTTCTCATTAGCTTGCTATTATGCTCTCTTTGTGTTTGAAATCGAATATTGGCCTAAGATAATTAGTTTGTCACAATACCACTTTACCAACACGCCTCAGCTATGCACTAACGCGGTACGATATTTCTCGCAGTATAAGTGAAGTTAGCGGCTGCGGCGGGCTCGTCTGGCTGTTGATTAAATATTCCATATATGTAGTGCATTAAAAAAATAAAAGTTTACCTGTAAAAAGTATACGCATTGCCTCAATGAAAACTTGAAGCTCATTGATATTCTTACTCATACAGTTAGAAAAATGTCTTTTCTTTCGTTTAATCAGTATAAGTGTTAGTTGTTAGCCAGATCGTGACGCCCGACCAATTCGAATGATCCTTCACAAACAATAGTTCAGAACAGACGTAATTTATAGTTATAAAGCATTTCTAGCCAGTTTCCTTTTTACTAGCCTATCAGGTTTTTGTCAGGATATCGTCGTATAGGAAGCGGCGTTCTCCTGCGCGTTCCGAGACTCACTGATCTTTCGTATATGCATATACATATCATATGCTAAAGGCCATATCGCTGTTGACTGATATGAGGTAGGCATAATGCCGACGGTGATAAAATGGGAGCGTAGAGGTAAGCCGCGGCTCCATTCAGTTATCTACAGTTGAAAACTAATTTTGTTTTTATAGAGACAGGTAACTGCTTAAGACGGTAGTGATAGCAGATGCCTTTGTGAATGAAGTAATCGTGGTACGTGTTCGCTGCTGCTGCCAGCCAACTGAAGTTCCCATCATTATTCATCACTATTTATAGTAGTGGAAGCATCGCATAGGGAAGACAGCACAAGCTCTCCATTGGTCCGACTTCGAGTAGCGAAAGCACTCTAGGCCACAGTAGCTGCCAATTCGGTGTGGCGAAGTCTTTTTCGGTACATGTGAGGCACGTATCGGTCAGAAACATTAAGTCAGAAAAGGGCCGGCGAGAAGACGTAAGCCAGCGATATAAAGAAACGAGGAATGACTGACCGGTGTAATCTTTGCGACTAAGATCAGCTGGGCCGGAGTATCTTGGCATATAGCGGGATGGGTAAGGGTCGCTGACGGTCGTGCCGAGTGGGTCGATGTGTGTGCACCGTGTGGGCAGGAAAACATTGTTAGCAGATAAACAATAAAATGCCTGGTTCGGTGAACGAAAGATGACTCTGCCATGCGATGGCTTGCTTCGGTGACTCTTTGTCTTCGAACGGTCGTTTTGGCAGTCCGGTGACGTACTTCGATAGCGCAGCATTTTACATAAGACACACTTACTACAGCTCACAATTCAGAGTAGAACAGTCGCGACTGACGTTCAATGATCGATATGGTCAAAACAGTAGCATGAAATCGTACGTTTTCTCTACACTATGAATTTGCTTCGGCCAAAATAGCTTTCATGAAGAGTACACTCGCTGTAAACTGTGGCAGAAGTTCACTTCAGAATGGTTTTTGATGTTAGTGATAAACCAGTCAGAGTGTACAAGGATAGCTATATGTGGCGGATACGTTGTTTATGCGATTGAAGTTAGTGGAGTTAGTATGGAGATCGCGGAATGAATTCTATGTATTGCTCATACATAATAATTAGGTAAATAAAGAGGTACTCTATAGACGATCGGTATGAGGACCATGTGAGCATTATAGCTTGCTTCCGCGTAATTTCATCGAACTGCAGCATTCAGACCGTCTATTTGCAGATGTTTTGGCTTGTTCATAAAGTTAGGTGGAGATCAAGGAGTACAATATTTGGTGGCTAGACGCAAGGAGTGCGGCACATCGCACGTGCACCGACGAAATTCTGGCTTGGCACGTGAGGCTCGCATGTGCAAGATCGCAGGCGGCGAGGGTGTATCGATCGGGCGAATCATGGCGCCCAGCCCAGCCCCGAGGGACCATGAGCACCCGGGAGGATCCATTCTCAATGCCGCCCAAATCACCCCGCTGAGAAGACAATTATCCAGGTAAGGAGACATTGAAAGCACAATGATATTCCAAGCCACCATAAGAACTTGATTTCGTCTCTTGTCAATATTTTTGCGGGGGAAAGTGATTCTTACTTTGACGCACCCTTCATTTGTTATTTGCAAGCAATCATATCCTGTCTAATACCACTTTAAGCCTATTTAGCCACTCTACGAAGAGCCAATGCTTAGCGGCAATAGTGGACGTTTGCTTCTGCTACACTCAATTCTTTCATAGTTCTATTTCGTTCACGAGCGATTTCCTTGAGCCAAACGATGGTTTGCAGTGCGAACTGTAGGAGTGTGTTTGTGTGTAGACGTGAACACTCTGTTTTTCGTGCCGTTTATCCAACGTGAGTTATCCTAATCTGTGCGCTGCAGTATAATCTTTCGATTCTCAGTGTAAACGTGGTCTAGTAAAGCTCATTTTACGCTTACAAAGCGTTAAGTAAAAAGATAACAACACCCAACCGTATCTGAATCTTGATTTTTGCGCTTGAAAAATTCACTGTTGTCAATTGGGCGGAATTGGCATTATTGAACCAAAGCTAAATGCGTGCATTAAGACGCGTGACAATACTTTCCGCTGGGTTATTATTTCCGCGAAACGATATCAACACTGTGTCTTGCGCTTTGCTATGTCAAAATTGCCGCGTCACTAAGGTGGAATACACGCAGCACAAACACGCAAAGATTCAGATCCATCCGTGCACGGTTGTGTTTCACACTATATATAGTTGAAGTGCTATATATGTATGCTAAAGACCCAATGACCCTTGACAAATGATCACCATATCACATCGAAGCAAAGCTCCATAATTATAATTTTTCTTAGGGTATTAGACGTTTCTATGGATCCCGTATTAGAAGTTAGCAAGTAAACGAACGTCGCAGATATGACCACATAAGACTTTCACAGGACTCTTTCTCAATATGCGACATTACGATGTCGTCGGACACAACTGGTACCATAAAATATTAAGCATTTCCAATAAGTAGCATTGTTCCGATTTTGTTACTGCTAGTGGTAATTAAACTTAGTAATCGGTAATTGTGAATCAACTATCAACTTACAACAACTGTCGAATTCATTGAGTTCCGCTGGCCCACTCGCGGCCTGCCGGTCCTTGTCTGGCCTTACGTTTGCCTACCTGTTTACTGTTCTTGCGGCTGTGAAGTGTCGTTATCGGTTATTGTGACTGTAGCTCGTTACGATTGTTTGTGTCTGTATTGTCCTTGGGTGTCTTGTGGCTACTCATTATTTGTTCCCGTGTCCTGCGGTGTCCCGCCGCGTTGTATTACTGCTGTTGCGACCTCAATCGCTTAACGCTACTTTGGACGTTTTGTTCGTCGCTTCACTCGATCGGCCGCCGCTTATTCCGTGTGTGACGCCGATGAACAAAAGCGTTGGCAGGTGCTCTTCGCTCGACACCAAATTCCACCGATCGCACAAACACCTTCTGGGACTCGAAGTTGAAGAGCTACGCGAGCTGAACAGGCCACCAGGCCCCGACCGACTCGTCTTCGACAAGGATGAGGTGAGTGCTGCTGCTGCTGCTTAGATGATGGTGGACATTCATTTACAAGCGTACAGCAACGATGTACCTGACTCGTAGTTTTTCTTATAGAACCGCGCAGTGAAGTGGCTGACCAGTCCGTACTGTAAGTAGTGCTCAACTGTTGATTGCGGTAACAACAGCAAGAATTTGAGCGTTAGATCGTGAGCAACAAAGATGGAGCGACATATCGTAGATGAAGCATGTAAAGCCAGTTAGCGCGAAATAGGCCATGTCTAGTTCTGAGATTTCTATAGATGTGCCAGCCTGCTAGTACAACATGGATTACACATGGGGTGAACAACTGCCAAATTTCACCTGAACTAACATTTATATCTAGTAGATAGTCATGATAAGAAAAAGCAACATCAAATAGTTTTTGTGAGGTTTACCGACGAATATATTCAGGTAAGTTCATCTACGTGACGTTAAGATGACAGCCTTTCGATTACGGTGACCGGTTTGTGTGCAACTTGCTAAAGTGGAAATTCTTCAGCCCGATTATCTTCCGTAGAACGCTTTATTATTGTTATATGGTACTTTGTTAGGCTATATTGATTTTATCCTCAGGTGTGCTTGCGATAAACCGATTTCCTGTAAGGATATATTTACACGAAATCTGCTCCCAATGAGACATGATTATTACCTTTACTCTGACGTACTGTTTTATAGGCCCAATAATTAGGTTTCTACATATAAAAACAAAAGGCTATTGACAATTGGACTATTTTAACACGTAACCTATCCTATTCCCTGTAAAGATTCAAAGGCATGTTTTTCATTGGATGTGCGGGAATTAAAAAATAGGCATTTACGTTATACACTCTAAGATCAGTCATTTAGAACATGAAATGCGACGCTAAAAAAGATTTCAACCCGAATCTTCGTTTCCATGACGATCAAAATTGTACTTCTGCCTCAGTTTGGTGATACTCAGTAATTTCAGTTTCACAAAGTTCGATCGCTTTAGTGAAATTTAATATATTAGTTGAGTTTCGAAGATATCGCAGTTATCAGCAGCAACAGAAGGTTTGCTGCTGCCAGGCGTGACGTTGCTCTCTGTGCCCGACTGCCCAGTGGCCATATTGCGTACAGTTCGATAGCGGGGTCGCCCACACACTTCTTTGGCTTGTATATGTGTACTTAGAAGCAACATAATTCTACATATAAAAACAGTGACAGTCTGGTGGAAAAAAAGAAAGAAAAATTCAATTTGACAACATATTGACACACGTTGTTACTTTGTGCGAATGATCCTTGTTGAACTAAGATATCTTTATACGATATAGGTGTTGCGAAATAGTGGGCACCACTAATATGCATTTACATACAGCGACTATTGTGTGCCATTAGCACAACTAGGGGGCGGAGTTGCTCCTTGTCAGTATCGTCGATGTTGCCTAGCATTAACAAACACAAATCGTTTTTTCAACTCGAGCTATGATCTGCCATTTAAGACAGCTTGAATTGCGGAAGAACATTACTTAAAAATCAATTATTCAGCAATACACAATAGCCACGAACAACGACACATTCATCCGTACTCTAGAACTAATATTTTAGTGTCAAAAACCTAAAGAAAACGGTATGTATATTTGTCGTTAATGAGCTTTTACCTTTTGCTAGTGTATAATAAAATATACTGATATCAAAAGTAAATAAATTCCGCGAACTCGTTTCATTGAGCAGATCTCACAAATATCGATAGTCCTTCTTTCATTTGCTGAGTAAGACATTCGCGGTAACTACGCGATCCAATGCATTACTATATGGCGTCTATAAATAAATTATTTTCTTTATTAATACAATAGTGGATTTTTCACAATCATTTTCAGAACGGTCTGGATGGCGGAGGCGGAATAAACTCTGACGAGCTTCGATTGGACATGGACCGTTCGCTGGCAGCTGAGGCTTCTTCGGGCGCAGGCACTCATTCCTGGATGGATATGAACCTCTATTCAACGAAAAATGCGATTTCACAAGGTTAAATAGATTAATAAAATAATTAACATAGAATCATACCCCCCTCAATAACACGAACTGTAAACAGGCAAGTGCAGTCCAGATATCAAACGATGTTGATATTAATTTCGTTCAAGCTGAATTTACGTTTTTTTTTATGCACATAAAGATTTGCATAAACAGGCATAAATGAATTAAAAAAGAAAACAGAAGCTAGCTATGACCTGGCGCGCGAATATAGGTTACATAAATGTCTCTAATTCTAATTTCGCTCGCGTGCTCACCTAATAGCCACCCTTACTTTACACCAGGGATATATGACCAAATTTCTGATAGAGACATGCGCCCTCGTTTCTAGACGATCATCCAAACTGATAGAATCCAAAGATAACGTTTGTCACTATTGGCAATTTAGGCCTGCTGACCCTGGCGCTGCTCACATCAAATGCATCTCAGCTCCGAAGCATCCTGCAAAACGGTCCTAGGGCCAACCGTTTCTATCTCATTTGCCTCTCTGCTGTCGGCACGGCTCTTACTCTCCAAGTCACTGTGGGCATTCTTCTCATCATCAAAGGAAGGTGCACTCTTCTTCTAGTATTAATATATTCTGCAAATTTATCTGCTCAGCCATAGCTAGCGTAGAGACGCGCCGATGGCTTCCGAAAGGCTTCAGTCACTCAGTTATATCATACATAGTTGCCTGACTAACGAAACAGAAGGTGATTAGTTAGAAAAATAGAGCATACTTTTCAAAGTAGCAATATTATAGGCTACATATTTAGAAAACAAAAATTGAGCCGATAGTAATTTTTTTTATAGAAAATCCAAGACGAAATCTTAAAAAGCTTGCAAGGCTATATTCATTTAGTAGGGTCAAGGTGTTGGCTCATACATTCATATATTACGTATAATACAATGACCCCATTCGCTTCCATACATTTGAGAAAACGTATGCATGTAGATTAACTGTTTGTCCCACCTGCTTTTTTTCTCAGACAAATTTGTGAAGAGAAGGGCAAAAAAGCCAAAACCCTCTGCGAAGTTTAACTAACACTTGCAGCTATATAACGAAGGTAAAACATTATAGATTATTTACAGTAAGATCTCTTAATAAGGCAGATTTAAGCTAAGGAAGCCCTTGATAGCAGTGAGGAATTGCAGCATTTCGACTTTTGACAGTACAAAACATTGCGTAGACATACAGAACCTAAACAAGAGGCTGGAATTGGCAACTGTGCGAACGAGTAAATTCCAGATGTTCTAGCTAGGACCACTTAACGCTCTTCCAATTATCCTGATATTTGATTTTCTGTATTATTGGGAACTCCAGCTGTTTCTTTTAGTTTCTCATATTCACCAAAATCATATACAACTGACCGCCACAGTTCGTTCGGGTGAACACTTTTCGCGTCGTGCATTCAAAATCTGCGTGCCATTATATGTTAACGCTTCAGCAATATATTGAGCACTTGATTTTCAATCTCTAGTAGTTTCTATCGCTACACATTTCTCGTCGTGCACTCTCGCAGTTTATAGTTGTCTTCATTACCCTAAATCGGTAGATCGACCTAGATCGACGCTGTCGTCAGAATTATGCAGCCTACATTTTAAACAATCCTTACCTTCGTTTTACAGTCACAGTGTCAATTTTCCGAAATTTTATTCCCACTTCCTTTGCCTTTCTCCAAATGATTTACCTTGTATATGACGTTGAGCAAAGGGATAAAAGGCGGATCTGGATTAGTCTCTGGCCATTTCTACGAATGCGTTGAAGTGAATAAAGCGCGTGAGTGTTAGTGTCCAATGTTTTTCAGAATTGCGATGTGTAACGAGCATTTATTCAAAAGAATTCCGTTGTTTTGAACCAATTAGCTTCTGCTTTGTTATTTAAACACATAAATTTAGCATAGCAGGTTTGTCGCATAGTAATTCTTTCAACAAGTTAACAGTCGAATTTAGGAGAAAAATAATCTTTAGCTGGAATATATTCAGTAGAAGGTAACGGCCCGCAACAGGTCTTTTAGAATGGAATATTAACATATTAGTCTCATAAATTTCAATTCTTTTTAACTTGTAGATTCAACATTAATCGTGCAGTACAACAAAGACCAGCAGAGTTGGTGAATAACCTTGTTCTCACCGGTGTTTTCCTTGTCGCTGTGGCAAATATCTTTCTGACGGCTTTCGTCAGCTCGGGCGAAACGATCGGAAGACCATTTGAAGTGGAAAATGTCACCGTATCGACGCAGTCACGAGAGTCAGCAGAAGACTTTAGGTAGCTTTTCTTTCAATAAAATATTTAATTTTCTTTAATTCTTATAGAAAAGGCATTTTGATATAGTATAGATTTTATGCTAGTTGAGTTTATTATGGCAAATCATTTAGATGGTGTCATATACCAGAAGTTCCGAAGTTTGCATTTCAGCATTGAGAGACACCTGATTTAAACTGCCATGATATAACAATGTGTAAATATTCAGCACTGCCAAATACAGTATAGTTTCAACCGATCAACCATAATGTGATTAAGGAATCGCTGTGCTCATAGAGAAAAGTTAGAATAGGTTTTACAATACATCTTAACACCTCGTGCTGGCTGTTGCTGCTGGTTCGCCAATTGCGTAATTATTCATTTTCCAGTCATGCTCGATACCAGATATTAGTGGGCTTAGAGAGTGCTTGCGGTCTGATGTCCTTATCGGATATCAAGACAGTCATAGACAATCAACGTAAATCCAATTCGTATTAAGTTGTGTGGCTTGACTAAAACGTAATTTAAGATAATGTATCTCCTGAATCAGAACAAATTTGAGTAACCACTCATTTCGATGGAATAAGAGTAACAAACCACACATATGGCATTTATTTAGACGTTGACCACTAAAGTTTATTTAGTATGTATTGAAAAAAAAAAAAAATATTAATGATTTCGTTAATGTTACGTCGCTACGCTGACGCGAGTAGCCCTTACAGGGCGACATACCTACAGAGGGCGCCTCCAAAATCTTAGAAAAAAGAGAGTGGTGAAAATCAGTAAGAACCTGCTTGCTTACAAGAGCATAGAGCGCCATGACACCATTATTGGCAACTATCTAATTATGAAATTTATATCAAATTGAAGTAACTTCATCCCCTTAAGGGCAGACGTAACCTTGAAAAGTTAATGATCGTGTGAGAACTATCTCTTCGACTAAGAAATTAAAGCGCGATCGTAGAAGAAACCATTCCTATCACAACTCAGTTAATTAATAATAAATAGCAGTAATATCGCATGCTGTTTGGTAGGAAATATGATATAGTGAACTCTAACTTTGCAAACATTTTCCACTAGCTTAGCTTTTTCTTTAGTTTCGATCGAAATATGATCTATAACCCTCCGCCATTGGAATGATATATATATTTCACCGCTGTAAAAGCCTGCGTGATACAAGAGTCTACAATATCGAAACGCAACTTAGACATGTTGAGATTTGATAATTTTTTCTATAGAGAGGTTGTCAAAGTTTTGAAAATATGATAATCTATTTTTGATTTTGATCCTCGGTCAAATCACACTGCACTCATTTGCCCAACCATTCTACTTTATTGATTCGATCAATAGTGATAGACGATTAGGTGGACGAGTATGGTGTTTATAGGTATATTTAACCTGTCACGGTGGCGGCGTAGTGAGTAGCACAGTAGGGACGCGTAGCGGTCTGGGTTCGAAACGTGGAAACACTTTGTTTCCTCTTGGGAATGTCTAACAATGAACGAACGTGTGTGATAACACCCGCGCACTAAGAAATAACTCAATTTCTCATTATTAGCCTTCATAAGGTGTCTTCGAGAAAAGTTATATGATCGTGTTCAAAATTCACATACCAGAACTATTTGAACCAATGGCTCAGAGTGTTTTTAACAATAAAACGATCATCGAATACGAGGTTTATAAGGCGAGCTGTTTCCTGTGCTGTAAGTCTAAGATAAGATGGAGCTTACCATTCGAATTTTCTAAGTTCCCATCTGTCATTACAACTCAACTGTGAAAAGCCAGCGTAACGACATTCAGTTCGTAAACGGTCTTAGCTTTCAAAAAGTACTAGCGCATCACAACTACAAAAAAACAATGTCGCGAAATATCTTACCGATATATAACAGCGTCATTTTGAAATATGAGCAAATGCTGGTCTAATATAATTGTATATAATAACAATGAATTTACAACGTTCAATATTTCAGCATTGAAATAAAAGTTTCTTTCCATTATAGTTGAAGATCTAGAATTATTTGTACAAACCCAAAGTCGCAATGTTTTTGCTTGGTATTATGTCTATATGTATGTGTATAGCAACAGGCTTTACCCGAAATTAACATTAATTCACCCTTTCTTGTTGGAATTCGAAAAAAAATTACTCCCAAGTATGTTACTACGTGTTACGCAAGCACGTGAACGATGCAAGGGCTGTTGACCAGAATTATTGACAAACGTTATTTTTTTCTAAGGGTTAAATACTCGAGGGTAAATAACTCGAGGGAGCCAAGTGGACCATAAAACGTTTGTCTGCCTTTTTAGTCCGCAACCTGCGACCCAATGATGCTGGCACCCAATATCGAACTACGTCCTTCCAATTAGAGCGCCCATAGAATCCTTCTTCTAATGTGTACGCGGTTTTGCATGCAAACAAGCAGTTTAGGAAATTCAGAACTACCCTTAGATGTTTATATTAAGCACGACAAACCCAAAAAGACTCCGAACTTAAAAGCCTGATGTTTGACGTTGAACACACTTGCGGAATGAGTCTAAGCAAAGAGGAAGTCAATCCAGAGGTTCCCGTGGCGGTGCTGAGTAACATCTTTGCTTCCTTAAGCAAACAGGAAGTCAATCCAGAGGTTCCCGTGGCGGTGCTGAGTAACATCTTTGCTTCCTAATCGTAGGAACACGTGAGATGATCGAAGTTCGAAACCGTGCATAAATCAATTTCCTAATCGTACTAGAAGTCAGCCATCCGAAATAATACTTAAAAGCAATACTGGACGTAAAAATCGAACAGTTTAATGCATCCAATAGATTACATCGGAAATTTTACTTCATTCTATCAAGTACAATAAAATTGTAGGTATACTATATTTTATTATTTATGTGAAAATTGCTAATCTGCCAAAACATTTTTAGCCTCTTTATAAGATGACGATAACATATATGTAGGTCAGATAATGCAAGTGATTTTTTTTATTATCTAAACTATAACACGCATTTGAAAGCAGCATTTCGATATGACTGGAAGAAAATTTATATGATAGCAATGATGATTGAATGATTTATTATTGTGTTATGCGAGTCTCGGTGAGCATTCATTTTATTGTTTTTTTTTTTTATTTGCTTGAGAGGTTTAGTTCCGATGTTACGAACAAGCATGGGCATTACCTTCTCACTAAATGGCGGCCATTTCACTTAACTAAAACGGCAAACATTATTGGGCAGCAACTTCATTACATAACTTGAACGACAGTATGTGCAAAAATAAACAGCAATCCGACATCAAGTAGCTTAGCTTATCGTAAAGTTCCTAACCTAATAATTTCTCAATACAGGGTCTAAGACTGGTCACTACCGAGTCACTTTATACACAAAAGTGCTTAGATTTACATAAAGCACACCGTATCTGTCGTGACAAAGTTCGTTCCAGTATTTCTGTATAAGGAATTCAGCAACGTTCTACCCTACTGAGTTATCAAAGAAGAGTGATATGCCAGAGTCCTATCTAATATTAGGGCTACCGAGGTGGACTCTCCATCGTTTGATAACTATATCCACGTATGGCGCTAGCAATTGTCTAACAGGCAGGTTTGCTTTGTTTGCATGACATTGAAGTTTGTACCAAGACGTTTGCTTTACGATTAAAAAGGTGTATGTTCTTGATAACCAAATACGTGGCAAAACCACAAGTAGTTCCCGACATCAAACGCAGTTAGAGAACCATCTAGGTTTGAAACCAAATCCCTACTTGAGTCGCTAGATGTCGGGTTTGTGAACTTGTCGAATATTAATATTAATTCGGTTTTTTTTTAAATATGAAAAGCAGATGGATTCCTTGCATTCTACTGATTGATCTAATTGTTCATCTTCATCACTTGTATGCTCCGCATCAGTTTCCCATTTTCCTGTAGTACGACATTGGGAAGAATCATCAAAATGACGGTTTCGAAACGATCCCTTTTCTATAAACACTCTTGGAACGCCGTGATATGCAAGTCTGGAAGCCCCTGTCATAAGAGCTACATCTCCGTGTCGCAAGAAGATTGGCGTAGGCCGAGTTGAGCGCTCTGTACCCCCAATCAGGAAAATGGCCGTGCAGCCGAGCGAGATGGATACCAACGGGGCAGACAGATCTTCTTCCGAATGGTCAACGTGACCTATATTGACAAAGTAGGCCAAACAGAGAGAACAAGCTTACAATGGATAGAAACGTTGTATTAGTCGATTGTAGATTATTAGGGGGTCACTTATGTGATAATTTTGTTTATCACCGCTTATTCCAAACTGTCGGCATTCTGTTGAGAGCAATACATAAAAATACTGCTCTCATGTTCGGCGATACACACGCGTACATATCTTAACCATGTGAACGCTGTTGTTTACCTGCTGTTAATTGTAGCAGTGAATCGTAACATTATTATGTGCGCTTTAAGAGCACCTTATTATACATCTGTGCCATTTAGCATTAGCATAAATGTGCTTAAAGTAAAACAGAAAAGTACCACGTGAAGAGTCGATCACATAGTATTTCCACATGTGTGTTCAGGTAATAGCCCTTTATGTTCGTATAAACGTTTTGACCAACGAATAAACCGTTACCTGATAAGGTGGTACCAACAGGGTAGTAATTGACTATTGCCGCCTCTGCCTGATATTCATAGGCGTACCCAGCCACCTGTTCAGCAAAGACAGCCGCACAGCGTGCCAAATCCGATGGGAAAGTGGTATAATTCGCTAAGTCGTATACCTGTCAATGAGAGAATCGTGTCTAAGTAACCATTTATATAAAACCTACGCACCGGAATTACAGAAACATGTCAAATAAGAAAATTAAAAAGCGTGATTTAACTTACATTGCTGCCTACTGCTAGCATTCAATGCCAACACTACAACATGGAAATAGAACAGAATGCGACATGTATGTTTTTTGAACACGATTCAATGCAGGCTTTCGAAATATAATAATAATTATAATAAAACCCGAATCAAATATTAGTCGAAATATATCAGTGACTTACAAGTAATTATAAACTATAACAACCTTTTTTTTCCCTTTTTTGAAGAAAAAAAAGTTAAAAAGCATCCTTTTTTCATAAAAAGGCCATGGCTACAAGGAAACCTGCGCCTCTTTATCGTACATCAAGAGAAAACATTGCATAGAATGAAAGCATAATGGAATGCAGAGAGCACATTAACTAGGTTATAAGAAATATATAGTTGTTCATGCTGCGTACTGACCTCAGAATCGATAGCAAGCATCGGAAGCGTCTCCTTGCATTTTGCTAATAGCACAAATATAACGCTATTGTTGAATCTGACTCAGATGTGTAAAGGAACTGAAACATGAGATTATACACTATTATGTAATTTCATTTTCGTACCTTCGAGTTCCAGTCGTGATGATATCCCAGCGTTGTCCAGCGGAGCTTCTTGCGCAATTCGACGTCAAGAACTACCTGAAATGTATTTTAAAAAGCGCGGCAGTAAACTTATTTTTATCATTTCATTATGCTCAATCTAATGCTGGGCTAGAGGGTAGGGGTTTCCTAGCTCACACAAATAGATTTTTACTATACGTAGTGCAGGGCCTTAAGAATGGTTGAACATGCTCGATACCATTCTTGAATGGAGACCTTGAATATAATTTCTCCGTTGCATACAATAACTTATTTTGGGGCAACTGCATTACACATTAGTACATTATAGGATACAGCTTTGAAAAACTAAATAGGTGTCATCAGGCATTACTATAAGGTTAAAAATAAATAGGTAAAAAAAAAACTGTACGTTTAATACCCTGCTCTCCCCTATGCGTCTCGTGACGGAGGCCGGCAGAGTTTCTAGATTGGTTACATTTGGCCTTTCAGGGAAATCCAAAAGAGACCGGTGAGTCCATCGATGAAGACCTTCTGGTGTAAATGCTTCAGGAACCAGAAGAAGACCCGGCACACTAACCACTTCGCACACCTATATGGATTTATTGAAGGGCATTTGTAACAGCGTTATAAGCACTATCTGCTTGGGACTCCTTTCGAGGATATCAGTGTTTCGGTAATTAATTATCTTTCAGATTTACTTGATACGGGCAGCATGCTTAACTTTCTCGGCACGCAACATCATAAGCTAAATTGTTACAATTAAACAAGCTATATCATTCGCTTAAAACAGCACCTGAATATACTTAGGTATCGCTTTGACATAAATTATAAAACCGGTTTCTAAATCTTTAAATACGCAGCTCAGATGGTTTGCGACTGAAGGATGTATAATCAAAAAGTAGCGTATTAAAGTATTTTTGTTTCTACCATGGCATATACTACTCTGATAACAACAATCAGAATCCCGATCAACAATTACAATTATTTCCATTTTGCAACAGTCGACTCACCTTTACAGTAGAGTTTATCCCCGAATCGTTGTCGCCGATTTCAATTTGTCTCCATGTGAAGTTTGCCGCGTCTTTTCCGACGTCGAGTACTTGTGATAAATCGGGAGGGCTTTGCCGGGCTTTGTAGTACTTGAACTCAAGTTTATAAAGATCTTCTTCCAAAGAAAGGCAATAACCCTCTGCAAGAGCGATAGGAAAGTTCGAGCCTTGACTATAACAACAAATTACTGGCATTTTGTGATAAACAAAAGATTGCTGTCCATTTCGCTGGTATTACTTATATCCCAGCCTTCTCAGACAAATAATTTTATAATCTTCGCCATGGTGCATTAAAAAAAAAGTTTGCGGATTTGGGGAGAAAAAGAAAACTACTTATGCATTGATACGCCGTCTAAAAAAATCGTCCCGTATTTGACGAGCATTTTAAAAAAGCGACTGAAAATATATCACGGAAAAAGCATATTTTCTTGTTTATGCAAAGCAGACGGCAGAGCGGATTCGCAGTTTTCAGGGACCCTGGCTTATGTTGAAATAGGCTGAATAAGAGTCAAGGTACAGATTAATTTGGAACAATAGTTATGCTATTTGAAATGAATGACAATTAATAGCATCTGGATTAAAGATTAGGAAATTCAAGCGAAGAAATATAATAGATGCAACATAAAGTATAATGTGAACTTCGCGGACGTCCATTACACGACACTTCACGAGTTGAATGCCAAGTTGAGCCTCTTACATCGCGTTACATGTATGACATTTAATTACTACAGATCTCACATTACTGCCACCCGAATATAAGTCTATCTTCTTATTACATATGATTTGCGCTTAAACGTAAGTACAAACGGTACCTGCCTGTCTGGGTTGACATCGTGCTTATTCAGAAAGACCTAACCGGTGCGAGGTTTATATACCGCCCCATCACAGAATTCAACAAAACTGACTTTTTTTGCTTGTCACTTTCACATAAGTACTTATCGTTTAAAACTGTAACCGTCGTCACCATCATGATTGCAGCCAGCTGATTCCATCAATATAATACGTTTCATTTAGAGACACGTCGTTGTTTCGAAGAGTATCAGGTGCGATAAATATGTATAGCAAATCAGTTGGACGGAACATTATAGTATTAGAAATTTAGTATTCGATTCTGCCACCCATACGAAAAAGTGAACACACCCCAAAATCTGTATGTTGTCCCTTCCTCTTACAGCTCTGCCTACGACAGGCATACACATAAAAACTGTGGCCTTAATGAATCAGCTGTTCGACACATTCAAAACAGCACCTCCTCGCCCGCCATCGATGCTGATGTTGATCCTGTGTCAGTTCTGAACCTGACCATCTTAGACAGGAAGTGTAAGCTTTCTTCAATTAAATAAATTGTGATTCAGCACGTTTCGTACTGCTTCGTCCGATAGATAAAAATGGCATGAATGCGTGCTTTGCACGATTCCTCAATACGTTTAGTAGAAAAAAGCCGGATAATCTTAGTTTCGTGGTTTTCGAAAATGATGGATCCATCTCGATTCGACCGCGCGATTTTAGCGTTTCGATGTTCGTACCGCTGTCGCTGTGTTCGACCGGACCTCGTTCTGTCGATTGGCGGCCGCGCGTCAAAATGTGGAGGTTCAGCAGCGCTCCATGACAACTGTGTGTACCGATGGCAGTGTTTGGTGGTGAAGCAAGCGAGAGAAAGTGCACGGCGGCAGTGGCTGAGGGGTAGATGTACTTCCCGTCGAGTTAGCTTGCTTGAAGGTTCCCCAATATCGCGTGTACCTATCTCTATGTCTAGCTCTCTATCCGTGTGCCTATAAGTGTGGATATCGACATGAAGAGAGGTAAAATGAAATGATTATGATGATCTTGTTTGACGCGCATGCCCAGAAGGAAAGGTAGAAAAGCTCGGGTCAGCCGTGCGCGTATGCCTCTGCAGCCGTTTGTTCGTACCTTATGCTCTCGGAGCACCAGCATTACCGCAGCAGGCCGAAACCGATAGAAAGCTGTGTACATCGCTATGTCGGCTGGGGGGAGCACTCGAAGAGAGGAGGCGGTCACTACTGCTGGGTCTTGCTCAGCTCTCAGCATCGGTTATAGCGGCTGAAACAAGCAGCTATGCTACTACTTCTACTAGTAGACCGCACTAGAACGAGCACACGAGGAAATAAACGGCGCGGGGGCCGCTACTGCAGCCGGCAGCTCCGTCGCCGCTGCCATTACTGCTGTTGCAGGCTTAGGGAAAGGAGCACCACGGCAGTAGCTGCATTAGTACAGGCCTCTGCTATAGTCGATCGGTCCGTCCCTCCTTCTACATCTCTCCCCGTCGTTTCTTATTCGATGTCGTCTGTGTCTTGCCGGGCTGCCGGCTAACTGCGATGTTCGCTGCTCGGCCTAGCGACCCTGCTGTGCTTGTCAGCGTGTGCCGCTCCTGCCGTTCTTTCCCAACTACTACGACGACGATGAGGAAGACGAAGTCGCAGTCGTCCGCGATCGTCGTCGAGGAGCGGAGAGCCTTTCTGGAGTAGAGAAGGAAGGGGCTGAGTGCTGCTGCTTGCCTCACACGGGTCGGTGCAACTGCGGCAACTGGACATATCATCCAGTTGTTGCCTCCACTCAACGGACCCTGTCGCCTGCAATTTCTGCTGCGACTACAACTACGAACACGATACTATCGTTTCTACCGCAACTACTGAAGCTACTATTTGTACAACTAGAAACAACTGAGACATCTACGACGATGGCTGCGATGATGACGGCGGCGGCGGCGGCGGCGGCGGCAGCGGCAGCGGCGGCGACGGCGACGGCGGCGGCGGCGGCGGCGACGGTAACGACGGTGGCCAGCACCACAGCTACTAGAGCGATCGCTCGTTGTACACTACCGTAGGAAAAGACATATGCAGAGACAGTCGGTTCGTGTTTTGTTGCCTGTGCTCATTCATCCATAACTGGGCCGCCCCGTGATGGTCACTCTTAGCCTGTCTGTATTTGTCGTCGTTTTTGCTGGTGGTTAGTGGAGGCGCTGGTGTTGCTGGTAGCGATCTCCTAGTCGTGCCACAGAGCTAGAAGGGGCAGTACCCCAATGTTTGAGCTATTATTATCATCATCCCACCACTGTTGATTGTTGTTAACATGATTCTAAGTGTATTGTATTGTATTATAGAATGCGTCTAGTGGGTGTGTGGAACAAGTTCATCGGCGAACGAGGAGAGATAAAACAGTTGGGTTTTTCAGCGGAACCGCACTACAAGATTCACGCAAGGTAGAGCGCACGGCGGAATACGACCGACAACGTACAGAAAGGCCGGGCGCTAATGAATGAACGGATAGCCTCTGTCTGTCTGTGAGTGAGTGAGTGAGTGGTGGCCATGATATGAGACGAAAGCCTAAAGGATCAGCTGAAAAGAACAAGGCAAAATCACTTCTTTCTTGTTTTTCGGTTCGAAAGCGGTCAGCAGTTATTGACGGGCGATTGTTCGCTACTAATAATAAATAGAATTTTTTCTCAGTATAACGGTCACTGGCACTGCTGTTACCACCGATCCAACAACAACGCTGTTCATACTGTAACTAGTAATATGTACTACTAACGAAATAATATTGTTATAACCCGGAAAAGAAACGACCACAACGGATACTGTTGTTGCTGCTGCTGCTGCTGCTGCTGTCTCCATCACTCCATCCGTGCTACACCATCTGACGATTCTCGGATCTTTTGAGAAACCTTTGAAAAAAAGTTGTACGAGAAGCAAATGGCTAGCCGAGTAGTTTGTGAGGTTGTCGTTAGCGCACGTCATACAGAAAATAATAGCGGACCACAGTGACACTTCATCAAGCGCCACACCTTCGTCGGCCGTTCACTTCTCATCCGATAGTGTCTTTGCATTTGCATTAGTGGTGTGAAGCTGTGGACAGTTGCACGGCGAGCGACAACATTCGTTGGCCTTTTTCGTGTGGTGATGTTTTCCTCTAGGCTAGGTAGAGTAAAAACAAAAACAGTTATTAAGATGACGTCAGCCGTTGCCGAACTGACAAATAGGTTGTTCTAGGCAAGCAAACTACAATTACGACTATTAACTGCCGTTAAGAGACCATCATCTATGCCGTTTTCATGTGCGATAGCTCTTTTCGTCGGTGAGAATCAGTGAGTCGATGTGGCTATACGCTATTTTCAACTCTACGCTACAATCTCTACTGCCTAGCTCAGACAAACGAAATACATTGCCGCCGGTCAGATCATCTGTGCGGAAGAAAGATTCTCGAGCAGTGCGTGCTGTGGAGTGCTAAAGCGGGGTGATGCTTTACATACATGCTCTACGAGTGCTAATCACCGCCATGTCTACCTAAGCGAGATGTGTTTGTGCTTTCGTCCGTCTATGTCAAAGGATACTATGTGCAACGATACCAACGGAAACTGGCATCACTTCTGAACCTATTTCGTCTCTCGTTAATGCCATCAGTAAGTACGTCAGCGCGCACTATCAAGAGTAGCTGCGCTAGCCATAACAAAAGCTAGTAGCCCACTGCCTAAAGTAGCTAATCCGGAACAGGCCACTATAAAACGAAGCAGGTCGCTAGGTAGATTTTGCGAATACATTGTCTGGCTGGCTATCAGGCGTAGATCGGGAGTCTCGCCATGGTAAATATAGTAATGCGCCTATTTTGTTTATATTTGTCATTAGCAAATCTAATTATAGTTAAGCACAAATGACGGTATTTGGTATTAAGGTAAAAAAGTTAGGGTTTAGGCCAGTTGACCTTAGTTTTAACGCTTTCCAATGAAACGAGGAAATAAAATGTAATCGTATAGAAGAAATGTGACCCGACGATGTTACGTCTATGCCGCCAACGGAAGCGTGTTCGAAGACATCAGACCTTCGAAGGACAAGTCTTTGTCGACAGAAGAAAAACTGTTACAAAATGGAATGCACCGCTGTAGTTTTAGTGATATTAAAAATGGGGGTAAAAAAAAAGTGAGCTTCCTGAAACTTCAGTAGGAAACTATGCACTTCTTGGTTTCAATAAACCTAAATTTCTTTTCAATATTTTTAGATGGAAAAGTGTTCATTGTCGTTAGTGTTACTCAGTAATTGTTTTAATTTTTAGCTTTGTGATTAACAATATTACTCTACTAAGTTCACGAAAGTTGTAGTTTTGATTGCAACAGCTGCTTTTACAAATAAACTGTAGTTTAAATGAAGTAATAGTGATTCTTATTTCTATTATTGTTATTTTAATAACTCAACAGATCTGGCTGTATGGTTTACCGATCGGTTGCGACCGCGAACGCCGGCACTACGAAACATTGAAGCGCTCATGACATTTCGATTTGTCTAAGCACTTCGCCGACATCAGTAAATAGGCTTATTTATCACGCATATCCATCCCGTTCGCAAATTATTGGTAAAACGGAGTGGCGCTTAAATAGGGAGCGCACTAGTCGTCGACGTACCATTTATGCGGTTGTCATCCAATCATTTGACCTAGCTCTCGCTTTCCTTCTGACGCACTTGGTTCTTTTGGTTAAAGGGCTCTGCTATAACGGGTTCTTTGTCATAAAGGCAGCTTCATGTGGCGGCCTCTTCAGAAGAGGCCGATGACGAGACAAGATCGGAGAGTACAGACAAACAAACACGATGCACTACTGGCCTGTACTTGCTTCAGCTGTTATTGCCGTTATAGCTACCGCCGCTGACTCACACACGTTGCTTAGTTGCCACGCGAGACAAGCGCCCACATCGGCGTAGGAGTGCAAAAAGAAGGATAGGCTGGCCGTCTAAATTTACGTTGTCTTTTCGTGACACTATGTATCTGCCACCTTTGTGACGGTAGCTCGAGTTCTCATTTTGGTTTATCATTGTATGTTCTCTGTTCCCTATTGAAGTGTGGCCAGCTATAGTATAGTGCCTTTGTGCAGCAGCTTCGTAGAAAACGTCATAAAAGCGTGATCAAATAGTACGTCTACGAAAAGTTTAGCGCCCGTGTGTTTAACTTTGCACCCGTGTTAACTGAGTGTATAGTTGAGCACAAAAGAGATATACTTCTGCCAAAGCTATGCAGCATGTTTGGATCATAGTAGGCTTCACGTGGCGCGTGCATAACTACCAAGGGTATATTTGATAAATCGAAAGGAAATTTGTATATATATATATATATATATACTTATACCAATATGGTCACTGTTTTAATTCATGTCGCAATGGGTCCAATAGGCAGCATTATCGAAGGAGAATTTCGTGCGTTCTTTTCGACCAGTAGTTCATTGACTGTTCCTGCTATCGAAATTCAATTATGGTAGGTTTACTAAACCAAAGCAGACGTCGGTTCGATGTACAGTATTAAAAAAACTCATGCTTGATTCACTGTGAACTACTCATATGACCTCATTGAAAGTATATAACAACTGTGTTCATAACTGGACTACTTATTTCCTGGCAAGCGTAAGATATCATGAGAAATCATGTCAATTCGACAGAGTTTTTAGCTACACGTATTTTGCATCGGAACGTATAAAAAAGGCAGTACTGAACAGTGAATTGATATACGATCAATCTATATATAAGGGACATTTAGTATACACTGTGCCAGTTCATCGAGCCCAAATGGCGTATACCTGACACGCCACCGAGAACGAGCAAGTAAATAAAAATGTTATCTGCTGATGACGTTGAATTGATGGTCCGTCTCGCCGTTTTATTTGCCTAGCTACGTGAAAGTCCTGGAATCTGCAGATCCTTCGTTAGTCGCATTTTGTTTTGACAGTTTAATGAAGCTGCTAGACCGGGATGCGCCGTTAGTGTATACTAGATTACTGGTCTGAACATTATAGCTTGTGAGCAGCCATGTTAGTTCTAGAACGCTTTTTAGCCGTGACTCGGTAAATAGAACAAATGATGCTAAATAGTTATTAGGACTAGTTCCGCTTTCAGTTTTCGCTGGATTAATCCACCGTTTCAATTCTCACACAAATCTCGTATCAATCATAGACTTTTCAAGCAAAGTTCTTCAACCGATATCCTACATTCTTCTAATCATATTGCCCATACGAACTCGCTTCTTATCATAGCTCGCTTAGCTTCTTGCCTTTCAATGGTTATAAGGGCATGTATGTGCGCTAATTCACAAAACACTGAACGTTACGTGTTGACGGATATCGTCTAATCGGGTACCACACGTAAGTAAACCCCATCAACAGGCCAATAACAACGAATGAAAAACAAAATTATATAAAAAGTGTATATACAAAATTATACAAGAACCGAAAGAAATATAAAAGTGTCATTTTTAAAAAAAAGAATCAGCTAGAAAAGATCACGCCAATATGTAAAATTCGACGCGGTGGTTTAAAGGACCAAGCATTTGGTGGATAGAGACTAGGAGCTGCTGCTTTACGCCTGGCCGATCACAAATTGTATACAATTAGTGTAGATGAAAAAAGTATATGAAGTATCCTAAGTTTAGACACTTCTCGAAGTGTCTCCAGTTTATCGCTTAGTCTGTTGATATTTTACCACAGCAGTCCATCAAAAATCAACGTGTCACCTAGCTTTTACGGCGATACAGGAAGACGTTGCTGTTACTTAACGTTTTTGGCTCGAAACAGAGGACCCAGTAGACTGTTCTTCGTATAAATGTCCTTAACTGCTTTCGACAATCCTATTGACGAACTTTTTTTTTGTCAAGTTCTACTTGTGCACCAGATGGTGTGGTTGGTCGAACCTTTCTTAGGGTCATCTTTTCATATTTGAATTTACACTAATTATGAGTTCTATTGTCACTATTAGGTGCAATCGATTGTGCGAGCCCTAATTGTGGCGTGAACCTAAAAGATGGCCAACGTAACCATTTTCAACGGCTCGTTATATATCTATATCTTTACTGTAAACATAACAAGCGCGCAATTGGCAATACCAGTCGAAGGAACATTAATAATCGTGGGGACATTAGCGTTCGTGTCTGCTTCTTGAAACTGTAGTTGTTACCATCGAAACGAGTTTGCACGTAATGGCCAGAAAAATAGAAACTGTTTTAGTGAGCATTGCCACCGTAAGAGGCGGCAATAAAAACACTGACAGACGTATTTAGCGGAAACGTATGAGCATTTAAATTCGGCAGCGCGTCTATCTCCGAATTTTTTGAAAGGTAACGAAAGAAACGATTTATTCAGTCATACTAGCTAAACATACACAACGACACTTTGTAGTTCTTACAAAAGACTTCCTTTTTCGTACGTTTGACGCTTTGGGTCGACTTCTTGCAACTATATAAACTGACATCGGGTAAATTGTTTGGTAGATTTCCACCACAAATTGGCTGGTTGGAGCGAATTAAGTAGATGGATCTATTTAGTACTGTTATTTCTTATTTCTCTTCGTAGAGTCGAAAATGCAACTACGCGGGTCGGTGTATACGTGCATTCAGACGTGCGTATATACAGACCGACCGCCGAGACGTATCGTTTTCGTCTTGAGCTTACTTTAGCTTTAAGGCCAACTAGTAGTTGTCTCGAACAAAAAATTTTGTCCGGCCCCATCTTAAATTAAGCGCAGGCATTGATTTGTGGTGTGCGTAAGCAACAAGGTCATTCGACTTGATATCCGCCAGAGTTTCCATGCAGGAAGTTGGGGGTATGAACGAAACGACAAAAGACTGCACGACGCTGATGAATCAATAACATTACTAGTGTCGCACGCAAAAAAGGTGTTTTGAGCTACATAAAATCAAAGAGCGACAGTCGCGAACTTCCGACGAACTTCATATTTGTTTCCAAAACAAAGTATTATAAGAATTAATAAACAAATCTGCAAGAGTCTCGTCATGCTTACTTTGCCCTTTGTTGAACCACATTATAGCGAAACTATCCGATTTTATCTACTGAGGCAGTGTTCACATGACTGTGAGCGTTTTGTATTTTAATTCGAAATGAAATAAAAGAAAGCAATCAGCGAATTAGCGGTACGAACGCCCGTGTGTCAGTTTTACAGCACTGCAGCGTAGTCACGATTGATGCGCTGCTGTCATGACTGAATCGTCGTCACCGCGGTTTATGGCGTTTACAAATACACGTGTTTCTCTGGGATCTCTGGATGTATGGGAGCAAATGTTCCTAACCAGCAATAAAAAGGTGAACGGTCGCCAGCTATGCCAAGCAGAAAAATTCTGGGTATCTCAAAAATTGATGGAAGGTACAACTTGTCACAATATACAGATTTATCGTAGATCAGAGATGTAAGATGCAGATCTATCTACCTGATAAAGCAGAACTGTAAATGTCGTACTAACCGCGGAATCTTTGCAAAAGGTTTTCGCATTACTCAGCCGAGACTGTTTTCACAATGAGCGGCTTGACCCCGTGGACGTCCATTTGTATACGATATACACTGCATTTGTACTCCGCTTATACTTTACGTAAACTTAGAACGAATTGTCGAAATTGAGACCGGAGTCGAATGGATATAGAAGCTGGGAAATTAATAAAGAATACACACTGCAATAGCTTACAACAAAACGAATCAGCAACGTGTAAAAATCTAAAATCAAATAAGTTTTTTTTCTGTAATCAAAAACAGTGGCAATAATTGAGCGAGAAAGCCACAACGTACTGCCCGATTAGGCCTATGAAGCACGTTTTTCTGTTACGCACAACTTTTTTTGGCAGTTGTCATGCATCTGTTTAAGATTCTAACGCGTATTTCACGCTGCTACGAATTCGAGCACGTTCCCTATTTAAATGTCGTTGTTTTTCGATGCTGGATTTTGACAACCTTCAAAAACTGGCCGACTCAGGTATGAATTTTTTTATTTATTTATTTATTATATCGTCTGATTTTTATTCGTTCTGAATTTTATAGACGAACTGAGGTATATGCATTAAGACTGGCATGGCGTAGAAAGTTAGACAGGGTGAATAAGAGAGGTCGTCATCATCTTTTACTGAGGTGTTTAGTGTCAATTCAATTCTGTTTACGTTTATCGAGCGCGTTCGCTTTGGCGCTATGTTTGATTCGTTTATGCCGATGGGGCGAGACGTCGACACGACTGTGCGTGCTATCGTCCAGATGGTAAGCACTATGTAGAGTTAGAACAGA